TTAAATCCTTTTATTAATTTTAAATATAATTAAATTTCAAAACAGGTAGGCATTTGTTATGAGTGAATTGGGTCATATCATATGCTCATGTTTATGTTTTTGTCAATTTGGGTCACGGATATTATTTACCAGAGTCCGCTTAAAGTATTGTAAAAAGTTTTAGTACGAGAGTATAATTGTGTACAACATGAAAATAATTAACCTAGACTTAATGCTGGACCAAAATTAATTGTTGTCAATTTCTAGAGCAGGGCAGACAAACACTTTCATCAAAAGGAAAGAAAAAACACTAACGAATTATTAATCTAAGTGAAAAGAGTTCAATTCCTTTTAAATAAGATTTCGAATTTGAATCTTATGAGTGAAAAAATAAATGTTGAGAGAGTTTCCCTTATGAGATCCGATGCGACTCAATTTCAAATTAGTTGGGATTCAATATTATTATAGAATACTGAGAGATTAATAAAAAAAAAAAAAAACCATCACCAATATAGGCAAATATACCCAGTGTCATCTTAATAGGCTTTTCTACATTTACATATTTTTTTTTACGCCTGTCCTATCTTTCCATTTTGGGAAAATTAAATATTTTTGTTTCTCTTATGTTTCTTTACACTTCTTAGACTTGGTAAAATTGGACTCAATCTGAAAATTTTGACCCAACCCATCTGTTATGGGTCGAATGATGGGTCTTATGTGTTAATCCGAAATTCGAAAGGATCCGGGCTGAAATTATCCGAACTCAAATGGGTTGGGTCATGGGTGGATTGAGTCACCCGAAATGATTCGAACTATTTTTTATATATTTTTTATTAAAGTATTTAAAAATTAATTTTAAATTTCTAATTTTCTAATCCTAAAAGTAGAAATAAATAAAATATATAAATTATAACTTCCCGTTAGTTTCACTTTCTCGCAATTTTTCCTCTTTTCCCCTCTTGCTCTCTCCTTCATCTCAAGCTCTTTAATCCTTTTCTTTGGTGACACTTGCATAAAAAATCAGATTAGGTGATACATAATGAGTTGTATCATATGGTATTATCAAAAAAATCTTTTTTTTTGAAAAAAAAAAAAGAAGAAAAGAAAGCAAGAATGCTTATTGAAAATCAAAAGCCAGTGATTGAGATACTCTCATTACCATTAGAAGCATAATGACAAAAACATCAAGAGCATTAAGGTTCGTTCTTAATTGATAATTTATTCTAAATTACTAATTTGTTCTTAATTAATAATTTGTTCATAGTTAATAAAAATAAATTCCAATTCAATTTTTTTTATATTTGTTTAGACATATTTTGAATTTTCTTTTTGAACTTTAATATTGAATAGGGTTATATTTTTTGTCTAATACCCTTCTAAATATTGAATAGAATTATATTTTTTTGTAAAATACCCTTATAAATATGGAATAGACACTAAATATTAACATATATATTGGATTTGTCTTTTGAACTCTAATCTTTTATGTCTCTTCTTTTAATGAAGGTTAGTTTTATGTTTCTTCTTTCAATAAAGGTTAGCACCTTTATGAAATTATGAATTCTAAATATTGTATAAGCATTATATATTTGACATATATTTTAGTTCTACCTATATAATTAGCAATCTTTCCATTTTCTTTTCTTGAGATTGGAATGAAAATTGAATCATGAAATGAAAATTAGTGTTTAATAAAGTTTTTTAACTAAATAGTTAATTAGTATTAGATTTTATTAAAGAAAAATAAAGAAAAATAGAGAAAAATAAAAAATT